AAATAAAGTGGATTGGATTGGATTAGAAAAAGAAGCATAGATAAAAAAGGCAGCTGTCAACCAGCTCCACAGGCGGCCCCGTCCAGGAAACACACAGCCAGGCAGACGAGCTTTTATGTTGTCACTGATTTTACTTAAATAATTTGAACCTAATATTCAAAATATATTTGAATAACGCTTTGGTCTTAAACTAAAAACTGCTGCCAAGTCAATCAGCAACACTAGATAATCCCAGATTATCCATATATTAGATGAATAAATCTCAAGTTACTGGAACCCGAATTCCTTAATCGGACTCAATAAATCAGTTAACCAATTTAATTTCACCAGGCTAAACTGTCTGTCTATGTTATTTTATATATATATATATATATATATATATATATATATATATATATATATATATATATATATATATATATTTAAGAAAAAAATTCATTGATGAAAATTAATTTCTTTTTTTATTATTCCAATTTTTTTAATCCAGCATTATTATTAATACTAATTTTGAGTTATATTTAACTAAATTAATAGTAGAATTAGACCTATAATTAATTGCAGTTATTACATATATACAGTTATTGCTGTGTCCAGAGTAAAATTCAACTTTTTAGACATCTATAGTGAGGCAGTGACTGCTCCATACAGAATAAAACTCAATTAATAGTAGAACGGCACCTCTATTTTGAGGCAGTTACTACTCTAATTCAGAGTAAAATACAACTCTGTACTGAGTTAAATGGTATTGGAGTGGTTCTCATTTTATGCTAAATGGACTACATTTCAATCTTGTGGAGTAAAACATGAACTCTAGATAGAGTAGAAATAACTGAAAATTTAACTCTAATATGGGTGTAAATTTGACTAGTTGTGGACTGGGACCAAATGCTGTCTTTTTGGGAGTAAAATCTTCCTCAAAATGAGTGAAAATTTTAGTTTTCTATCATTTCACTTTTGCTGAGATAAATGTTGCAGTTCTAACTTTTTTTAATAGTTGTAATATTTTGTTTTTTTCTTAAAATGTGTCCATGTCCTTTAACAAGTATTTTCGATGTATTTCCAGGAGATAAAGTGTGAAATGTGAATTTTGCATCCCTGATTCCTGTTTATTAAAGGAAAACTACCGAATGGGTTTACTAATTTTTTTTCCATGAAATAATGCTGAAACGATCAAAAGTGAATTTTAAAGCCATTTTTTCGCTAAATTAGATACAAATACAAAATATGATTAATTGGTAATTGTATAGAAAATGACTTAAAATCCTACCCTAGGTTTTAAGGTTGCTATTACACTATCATTACATTATATGTGCAATGTCATTGAAAATACATAAAAAATATAGCTGCTTGTATTCTCTCCCTGTTGACCTTAAATTAATAGAACATGGGCCTTTTATTGGGTAATAACATATATATTAGTTCATATTGTCACCTCTGGTTTAAGTTTTTACGCAGCAATTCTACAATACTTAGTTACTGCTATTATTCAATAACCTTGAAATACTGCAACAATTCAGTAGTTCCTCAAGAAAGTTAAGTCTGATATGACTGGGTACTTAATTATTTTATGTAGTTCTGTGGTAGTAGCATGACAATTTCGTAAAAACAGACTTCTGTGAACCTATCTTTGCAGACATTAGGATGTAATTCAGTTCAATTTAAAAACCCTTTATTAATGCCAAAGGGATATGAAATGTTTCATTAACTCCTACATTAATCTTTAAACACGTGTTGTATGTGTGATCGTTGTAGACAGGAATGATGTTCTGTCTTGAACCTGATCTGGAGAAGCCTCTTATGAAGACCTTCTCTTCAAAAATCTTTTGAAGAGAATGCTTACTGTTTTCCATAATTTTCTTAAATTTATGAAGAATTTTTTTTTTAAGAAATCATCTCCAGAGATTCTAGAAGAGTTCCTAATTTAGTCTTTTATTTTAAAATCAAAATAAGTTTGCAGCAATAGCAGTGCACATAAGCTTTTGCAAGTGTATTTGCAGCATTAATCGGAGAGACCAGGTGGGGGCATTAATGGTCTTCATTTGGTGTTTACCTCCCTGTAAGTATGGATAGAGGGAGAGCAGCTTGTCACACCCATGCATTTGCTTTGTCATCTTACCCCTCCTTCTTCTTTCCCCTCTCCTTCAGAAAAGGGAATGGCACATTTATTCAGCCAATAGGAGCACAGCTCCACCTCCTCCATCACATCATCTCAATCTCTAAGGTAACAGAGAGCCCCTCTCCCTCCATCTGTGTTTCTACATTGCAAGGTGCCGCATCAGCATCCCTCCCATCTCACCCTCCCATGCTAAGCTATTGCATGGTTAGCAGTACTCCTCTTTCTATTAACATACTCTGCTTCCTCTACAGTGAGATTGTGAAACCTTAGGGGCAAAAAACAAACAAAAAAAACATTGAAGAAAACAGAAGGGAGGAAGATGGTATGAAAGAGAAGAGGAACAATGTGGTACGTACCTCTGAGCCTCTTCCTTCCTGCTTGGTCTCCCCTTCCTCATATCTAAATGTGTCTTTGATCCTTACCAGAATATAGCTTTATTCAACTGATAATACAAAACATTAAAATAGGGAATTAATCTGTCTATGCTTTTGTTAGGGAGTGCTGTTTCTGTATGGCGGCAGCATACTGAGTGAGGCCCACACTGTCTATGTTATTTGTTAGTCTCTATTAATTAATTAATTGTGATTGAAAATGAATAATATTATAATGGTTTGCTTACAGGTTTTATATTAATTCTTTTAATGTCATTTTGGGAGAACGGTCCTTATTCAAACTAGATGTTACTCAGGTGTTTATAATGATATTTTACTGTTGGTAATTCTGATGAGTACATCTGAATGTTCCTGTAGGCTGTACTTATCTTTCTAAACTAAGGTAGGGAATGGCATTAAATTTAGGTTAGTTAATCAGGAAATAACGTAAATCGACTGGGTATAAGGGGGGAGCAATGTGATGTTTTTCAACAATTTTCTATGATAAGATTTTGCAGAACAGAGTACTAGTCACATATGTTTGTTGTTTTGAATCTATCTCCCTGCCACACCTGAATAGTGCTGACTCCGCATTAGTTTATGAAATCAAACATCTCTAGTATCAAAGTTCCAGTTCATCAAAAAGCATGAAAATTGGACATATAAACTTCAACTTTTGCTCTTTGTTTATTTGACTTGAATAAAAGGTCTGATACATTCAAATTAGAGTCACATGTGTTTGATTTGGGTCCTAAAACGAAACAAGTAACCGAGCAAATATCTTGTATTTTTTTTATTATAAAATTCTACCAAGAGAGCATGAATAAAAATCTGGTTCTCCTTCAGAAGGAAACAGTTTAGTATGAGCCACAGTTCTACAGATGCAAATGTTTTTGCTACTTGAAGGGTTTGGCTGTTTTAAAACTTAAAATATCCCTTTTAAATATGTTTCCCTATCCAAATGTAACCATTTGAGAAATTCTCACGTCTTTACGTCTCCGAATATATAATCATTCTATCTGTTACTATTTCTTTGTATTTTGTTGTGGAAATTATACAGTAAAATGGCAAATTTTTTCTTGGTAAATTAAATCATATTAAATCACTATGTACATAGTGATAATAAGTTAATGCACACTTCTGAAATTGTGTTAAACATACCATGATCACATAACAGTTCTAAATTCAGTTAACAGTTAAATTCTAGTGTTTACCATTAAATTATAAGTACTGTAGATAATTTTTCATAGGTACACCTTATGCTACCGTATGCCATTCTAAAAAGGTCGAGTTCAAGTCTTTTAAAAAAAATGCTCTATATTTCACCTGTTCATTTCAAAGTTAAAAGCATACTGCTCTATTAATCTAAATTCCATAGTATCTTCAAAGACATCTTCATCCGGACTCTGGGAGCTTGATCTCTAGTTACCATGTAGATGCAAATTTATCTTAATTCAGAAAGAAAGAAATTTTTTATTTTTTCTTTGTTCAGGTGTTGTGATTCTATAGTTAAATTCTATTCCCAGTCCGCTGGGAATTTATGTTTCTGATACTTTAAGATGTTTATTGC